GGGCCGGGCTTAGGCCGTTCCCTCAGCAGCCAGAGGAGAAGCACGGCTGGCCTAGTTCAGTCCCAGCACGGGCTCCTCTGCTGTTTGCACTCACCACGCTCTCTCCCCTCTGCTTCCGTAGGCCCCTAACACCAGTCAGATAGCAACAGGTCACCTTGTCTTTGCCTTGCAAATAACCATCCTGGCGTTTTGGAGTCTAATGGCATATTGCGTTTAATTTCCAGTCACTTCTCTGTGCGGTCGGCAAATAACCTGGCAGGCTGGGCTGTGTCTGAATACAGAAGAGAAGTTTCAGTTGGGGAACTCGATCTTGTCCATTTTCTGATTCCAAACTATAGGGAGATCTAAACTGTGTCTGACTTTTAGAGACCATAAGGACTCAACTGTGTCTCAAATGACTGGAACAATTGATGTTGGCTCCGTGCTTTATTCATGTTGGGCTCCAAGTTGGTATTGTTAAGGCTAAACTTCACCCTCGTGTTTGTATTTCCAAGGGCTGCGGTGTTGAATCGGACTTCAGCAAGGTGGGAACAAAATAAACCCCTGTCAATGCTCGCTCTGTGCTGTGCCCTGCACGCTGGAGAGGTGTCGCAGTTTGGGAAGCAGCTTGCAAGAACCAGGGCTGTAAGCCTGCTTCCCAGGAGCCTGGGCTGGCTCTTTCTGTGGCTCGCCACTCAGCAAAGCTATCGCCAAGTTACCGGTGTAGGTGGTAAACTGCCCAGCTCTGCGTCAAGCCTCTCTGCCCAGGCATCACGAGCAGTTTAAGCTGTGCTTTTCATTCTCTTCTAGCTAGCGCGTTAGGTGTCCACTCCAACCAGCTCTTGCCTCGTGCTTCAGTGCCGCAGTAGGGCTTGACTCTTCCTCCCCTGCAACTGCAAGTCTTGGGCCCCTTGGGCCCCTTCCAGCACCGAGGCTTTAGGAGTGGCCGGGGGTGCTCCTCCCAGACCAGAACGCAGTTTCTGTTCCTCTTTTCTTTCTTCCGTGCATTTGGAAACGTAGCCGGGCAGAGACCCAAGCCTGGTTCTGTGAGCACTTGACGTCCTGGCCGGTGCCCCCCTCCCTGCCGGACCCTGCTTTCAGCCCCCAGTGACTGGGGTGCTGTTCGTGCTTCCTTTGAGGCTTTGTCATGGGTCGTAGGTGCTGCGAGCTTTTAGGCTTCGTTTTGGATTTGAAAAGGTAAATCTGAGGGCGCCAAGAGCAGCTGCCCACCATGGAGGAGCTCGGGCTCCAGAAGCAAAACCTTGCTACAAGGAGTCCCACTTACCCGAGCCCCGAGGAGGGAAGGCGCCTGCTGGGCGAAGCCCCTCCGCTGCTGGAGAGCAGCCCCGCTCTGCCCAGGGCTGGGGTGCCTGCGCAGGAGCGTGGCTTCGTCCTCGGCCAGCGCTGGCCTCCAGCGGGGCTCCCGTCTGCCAGCGCAGCTTGCATTTCAGGTGCTTGGGCTCCGTCCCTCGTTCTGCCGCCTTGTAGAAATGCGGAGGCGCAGCCTCTCGGGGACTCGCCCTGGCTAACTTTCAGTATTAAACCGACCCCGTTCCCTACGACCTCAGAGGAGGGCTGGAGCCCCGTCACAGGCCCTCGTAGGTCCATCTCTCGCACTTGATACGTGAACTTGGTAAACATGGTCCGATGAAACTTGCAAGCACAACTTTTAACCTTGCTGAATCCAAAATCTTGCTGCTTCTCCTTTCAACCTGCCCTCTCGTGCTAGTTTAGATTAAATCCAACAGTGTCTAATGCTGCTTTACCAGGTCTGACAACAGAAGGACTGTCTAAATTGCTGAAATGGGAAGTCTGGACCTGTTCCTCCGAGAAACTGGAGTTCACCTTGATGAAAGAGCAGCGTGCTCAAACGGCACGCAACCCTGCCCGTCTTCAGGCTCTGCACACTTGTAAAGGGGAAAACTAGCAAATTGTGTTCCGCAGTAACATCCTCTCCTTGCTTTGCTCTCGGCTAAGCGTGAGTGCCTTACTTGGCTGGCCTCGGATCAGGCAGCGTAGCGAGGCTCTCGCGGTCCGTCCCTCCCGATGCAGCGTGGAGGAGGGCCGCGGGAGTCCGGCAGCTCCCCGTAGCACGCCTCCGACGTGCTGCCTCGCGGGACGCCACAGAACACAGTATCTCAGTGCCTTCTTCTGCATGCCTGTGAGGACTAGGAAGTCACTGGAGCCTTTTCCATTCTGGCCTTTCAAAGTATTGCCAAAAACCTGTTACGACTCTTGCTAGCTCTGTTTCGTGAACGCTGGTGATGTAGTCTGACTTACCGTGACTAAGACGCTCCCCTTCCGTGCATTACAGCCTTTCCAGGGCCGTCCTGGTGGTGCTGTGCTCCCCACCCCAAAGAGCTGTTGCAGAGCCCCGGTCTCCCCCAGGGCAGCGGTTTGGCTCCGGCCGGTCCTCGAGCGAGGCGTTATCGGCTGCCCCAGCCTTGGCTTTCTGCAAACAATCCCGGCTCTCTTCGGGCAGCCGCTCGTGTATCTTCTACCTACAAATTCCTGAAGCCCTTATCGGGGCGGGAGCGCTAAGCGGTCGCTGTCTGGTAGAGTTTAGCACCGACTGTTTTATGTCCCCTGGTAGCAACAATGTTTTCTACAGAAAGACCAAGAGTAAATGTAACCTTGCTCTTCACTGCCACACTGATCAATGCTCTGCCCTAGGTGGTTGTGGTTAGTTGTGTTTTGGGTTTTTTTACTTCTTTTTTTTATGGACAAACATTTTATGGGCCAATAAGTATAGAACCTATGTAAAACAACTTCAAGTGTCTTAACTCAATAAAGTTAACCAGCAGGTTTGTATACTAAGGACCAAAGCAAAAAACAAAAACCCTAGGATAAAAGTAATTCCAGTCAATGTTGCTTAACTGTTTAGGGCAAAGTTGTGCCGTTGAGGAAACGGGAGATTCCTGTGCTTCAATGGCCTGGGCCGTGCCAGCTATCAGAAGTGCAATTTGATGTTTGTCTTACTGATTGTCTGACCCAAAGGTTGTGCCGTGAGGAGTCCAAGCGGGAAGCGCGAGTAAGGCGTCGGGGAGCGGGGGAGCGGCGTCCCCGGCCCTGCCCGCTGCCGCGGGGCTGCTCCGCGCGGGGGCCTCTGCCGGTGCCGCTCCGCTGTCGTTACTGCAGTCACCTTCCCAGACTGGGACTGCTGGTCTTGGACAACATGCGACTCCTTTGCTATCACCAGGCAGCTTTTGTCACGGTTTTGGCTCTGGTTTCTCTCCAGCTCGCTTGTGTTGCACAACTGCAGAAGGGGAAGGGCGCAGCAGCAGCCTCGGCTTGCGCAGAGGAGCATGGTCCCTGCCGAGTACGTTGAGACGGGGGAAGGAGTTTAGCTGTACATTTCCTTTTGGACACCCGCATTAAACTATAGAATTGATTGACCAGGGAGAAGTAAGAAGCATTGTGGGCCTCGGGCTTTAACTGGTGCAGGATCCTGGCCCGCTTACAGCTGCTATCATAGGTGTAAAACCACTCGTGTTGCCTAATGAAGTCTGGTGTGCTAAGCCCTGGTGATGGCAAAGTGTGACTGGCGAGTAGGACATGAGCGCGATGTGAGATGCGTTAGACTCTGAGCCTCTTACAACATACGGTCTGGTCTGTACTGTCTGAGTCGTGTTGATTTGCAGATATGTGATATGAGTGGTGCTCATCCTACAGACACATGGAAAATCTTTGTTTAAAAACTATATTCCGCTTTGTGCGTGTAACCAAGTTGGACAGAAAGCAAGTGTGCCAATGCTGTTTACATGACTATAATGTGTAATGCTCCTCTGTCTAATGTTACCATATGCCTTATGTGTTTCAAATGTTAATTAAAAGCATAACAAAACCCTCAGAGGTATGCTGCTCAGTCTTCTGTTGGAATGAACCCTCTGCCCCCCACTTTTATCGCTTCTCTCGGCAGTCAGCAGGTGGGCACATTCAGTTTACAAATGCGAACTCTCCCAGGGTGAGAAGATGCCTCTGCTCTCAAGGACAACTGTTAGCCGCTGCCTCGAGCGGTGCAGTGATCATCTAACGTCCTGTTCTGGAGGGCAGCTAGGGTGATTTTTGTTTGCAAAGCCCTTCGCTGGCCTCTGCACTTCACTCCGTGTCCGGGTGTCTCTGTAGCCAGCTGAGACTGAAATGGGTGCCTGGGGTGATGGTTAGACAAGGCGCGAACAACCACTACTGAAAATGTGGGAATAAGTCTTGTTTATTTGTGTTTCTCCACTTAGAGACCGTCCAAGCCTGTGTATTCTCAGGGGAGGCAGCAGTCCCGGGCGCCGCGAGCTGTCCGTGCCCTCCCCAGGG